CTGGGTTCTGTCCCTGGTACTGCTTAAAAAAAAAAAAAAAGATTTTTAAAACGGTTGGGAATGAAGGTTAGAGGTAGAATATTCTTAGGTTTGGTTCCCAGTGCCACAAAAATAAAAACAAAAAACCTTATTTTTACAAGGTTGGCACTTTCCCATTAACCAAGTGAAGTGGCTCAAGACAATGTAAATAGTTTTCTTCTTTGCTTTTGGTCAAGTAGGATTCAGCTCAAAGTGATCTGAAGCTGGACAGCTTCAGATCACTAGTGCTAGGAGTATGATTAGTATGGGCTTTTATCTGTTTGTCTTGGGGAGAAGGCAGACATTGAACTGCTCACCAGAGACTAGTCAAGGCTTTCCAGAGGAGCATACCTGTAGGTGGTTGAAGGGCCAAGAACAGGTGTTCAAGGGCAAAGGTAGTTCAGTCAGAAAAGATGTTCTTTGAATAGGAGATGTGGCTCAGTGGTAGAGCACTTGCCTAGCATGCATGAGGTTGGGGGTTCCAGAAAAAGAAAAAAAAAAAAGAGTTGCTTCTCAAAGACTTGTAGTCCAGTAACTCTGGGACACTCCATTACTCTGGAGCAGAGTGGTGGTTGGGGTGGAGGGCTTCATACGATGTAAGAAAAGACTGCATGCACGTAGAGAAATATGAAGGGCACTGGGAGGCCATTAAAGCACATGAGCTGTGGGGAGAGCAATTCATGTAATAGACTGTAGGAGGCTGAACTCAATGGCTTATTTGACCACTGGAGCCAAAGAATTCAAGGGTTCAGAAGACATCCCAACATAACCAAAGCAGAGCAGCCAGCATGTGAGGCTGGGGTGTAGGTGAGCAGAGAGTGGGTATGGAGGGTATACTCTAAGCTCGTCCCTCAGCAGAATGTGGAGGAGTGGACAGCTGTTGGTTTCCCTGAACCTGGCCAGGTCTGAGGCATTTCCCCACAGAGACCCCTGCCACCTTCAGGGAATGATATTGCTCCTCTCCATGACTCTTATATTCTGTGGCAAAGTTTAGCTCACATTTGTTTCCTGGACCAGTGTGTATCTAGATATATATACCTTGCCCATTTGGCATCCTGCCCATGTCTGTAACATGCAGGGGAATATAGAGGCAGACCATCAGAGAGGTGATGAGCTTAGACGCCTGGCTTAGCTACTTTCTCTCCAGATGTGTTCTTACCTAAGCCCTACATTCTCAGTGCTAAATTTACAAATGCTAGATGGACTTCTACCTCCTTCCCCACTAAACCTCCCTTCTGATCATGACGGTAAGGCATGAGAAAGGATGTGCTGAGTGAAGGTATATAGTTTGAGCAGAGGCATATGGAGTGGAGGGAACCCAGAGATATGGAGTTGCGTGGCACGGGTGGGAAAAGCAGACTTGGTTTCTGGACTCCTGGGGTCTTGGAGGAAAACAGATACCTTACCAGACTTGAGCTGGGGGGATTTCTAGGTACCTTTGATGCTGGTCCTATTGTGTGGCTGGCACCCATGGAGCCCTCCTGGCTTCTGGGGTCTTGAGGGGGGTGTGTATGTGTGGTATGCTATTGTGATAACCAGACTGAATGATTTGGAGAGTCTCCTGTTGTAGGCCTTTATATAGGAGATGTTTACTGTGAGCCCTGGACCATATGTTTGGAGTCCCCTTTTTAGGTGATAACCCCTCATATGTTTTTAGGCTCTTCTGACCATGGCAAACCACTGCATATATCAGTAGTGCTCTATGGAGAGAGCACAACTGATAAATGGATAGTAATCAGAAGCATTATCTTGGAGGGAAGTTAGTAGAAAATGGGTGGGGACTACTGCAGGAGACATGAAGGTGCTGGACTTTGGGAGTCTAATGCTTAAAGGTGCTGGAACTTGGTCCTATGTAGGGGTCAGGTTTCTAAACAGACCTTTTGCACTTCCTCGTCTCATTGGAAAGCCAGGTTTCCTAGTAAAAGTATAGCCAGAAGTTGGGAAAAATAGTCATTATTGAGCCACGGAGCCACCCTTCCACCAGGGTCATTGTGGTCTGGGTGCATGATGATACCCATCTCCCAGAAATGATGGCAATGCCCCCACACGGCTCTGCTGCAGTGGAAGAGCCCACCTGTGCTTTGGAGGTTATTGTGAGGTAGTAGCTATGTGACTTAGGACAGTGATCTGCTCTGATTTAGCATTGTTTCTCACTCCCAGTAGCTTCTATGGGGGTTTACATGAGTGCTAAAGGAAGAGGGGAGCACCTGGGACAGAATTTATCTTTCTCTTCCCCTCAGCTCACATGCTGATGCACTCTTGATGCTGCAGTGATCCCTTTGGATGTAGTGGTCAGCAAGCTGACCCTCACCTCACATACCTGGATCAGTTCTGTAAAGCAGGTCTTTATTCCTATTGAGGAGGTCCAAGTCCAGTCTTTATACTCAAACTTATTGCTCAAAATTTGCAGTACCTTGTGATTCCAAATTTCGTGGCACTCTGTTAAATCCCAAGGGACTTGCCTGCTTCAAAGGAGTTGGTTGCCTTTTATGAGGGGCATGTTCTGAAGTTAAACTGCTTCAAACTTTTTATAATGGGCTCGGGATCTAGCTCTGGTCTGGTTTCTTACAGCTTGATGGCATTTCATAAGTGGGGGAAGGACAGGAGCTTCTGCAGCGGTAGATACCTTGTAACATTCCTAGTATATGTGCCAGAGCCCTTTTGGTCTCAGCTCAACTATCCCTACAGTGAAGTGAATATAGAAAGCTGTGTTTCTGCTGGGCATGGTGGCGCTTGCTTATAATCCCAGAAGCTGGGAAGGCTGAGATAGGAGGAGTGGGAGTTCAAAGCCAGCCTCAGTAACTGTGAGGCATTAGGCAACTCAGACCCTGTCTTTAAATAAAATACAAAATAGGGCTGGGGATGTGGATCAGTGGCCGAGTGCCTCTGGGTTCAATCCCTGGTATCCAAAAAAAAAAAAAAAAAAAAAGAAGGATGGGTTTCTGGTAAGGTTGGCTCTGATGATTATCCCTTCTTTGGAGCTGCCTCATAATGGCAGTAAGGCTGTCCCATTGTGGGGAATTGGGGGACAATGCATTCTCCTCTTTTAGGCAGCCAGGAAAGCAGAGGGAGTAGCTGGTGCTCCTGGTTTCTCTGTCCAGACTCTTACCTTTTTCCCCAGCCTCTCTAGCAGTCCTAGACCCATGGGAAGAGTTCATCACCCTCACCTTGCCTGCCCAGACAAGCTGCCCCAAGAAGGAAGCTCAGGAGGCCTGGGGCCCATGCCAGGCCTCAGTTTGTGGCAGGATACTTCACAGAATATCCTGGGTCAAGCTGAGCACAGGCTCTCATCTTGGTGGCGGCTCTTGCCATACACACTCCCCTGAGGAAGTAACTTTAGACTGCTCCGTTAGAGTGTTGTGGAGGCTTTAGGAGCTACCTGGGGCCTTCTCACCCTGAACACAGGCTCTCTATCACTTGTACGGTCAGAGGAGGCACTTTCTTCTAAGGCTGTAGATTCTTGGAGCCCTCCAACACAAACTTTGTGGCTCGTGTCGCATCTGATCTCTACAGTCTGGACCGCTCAGCTTAGGGGTATGGGGTCTGCAAGGGCCTTGGGGCTCAGGTGATTCTACCACTACTCCCCAAAGAACCTAGCCTTGAAGGAAGCCAGGCTACTTGTCTAATTCCTAGGCCCTCAGAACTGAACAGAGACTTAAAGGCAGTCCTGTTTCTCCTTCCTGTGCTCAGGTGGAGAAACTAAGGCTCAAAGGATAATAACTAACCTGGACTCTGAGGGGCAGTACCAGAATGGGGTCTTCTTTTTTCTTGGACTAGGTCCTGGTTCCCTGAACCTGGAGCCTCCCAGAGTGGAGGCTAAGACTGGTATGCCAGTCATTGAGCTGGACCCCTCTGTCCTCTCGTTCTGTGAAGTGAAAGCCAAGGACAAAGGTAGCTGCCCTGCCTGCCTTTCTACCTGCCCATCAGTTTGGGCCTGAGAGCATCAGAATGTTGGTTCCCAGCTGGGAGGTAGGAGCCACCTCTGCCAACCTCAGGAGAGTGATCCCTTCCCAGGTTCAGAATGGCTCCTGTTAGGCTTAAGTCTCACCTCGGCTACCTGGGGCCCCTTTTCTACCCCTTGTTCCAGTCTTCTTAACTTTCCAGCCTTCTCTGTACGGCATAAGAAGCCTTCGGGCTTCTTGGAGATTTCCTAGGCCAGCTACCTTCTGGTCTGGCTTTATAAAAGGACTCAGATCACTGCCCTGAGCATATCTCTGCCCAGCTCTTCCATGCCTACTCTTTTTCATCTGTACTTGCATATTTTGCCTTTACTAGGTAGTATGTTCCTTGAGACTTGCACTCAGTGCTGGTTGGGAACATTGCCTTCTATTTTCTATTTGGTTAGCATCCTGGGATGAGCAGAAGCTGCCAGGTGGCTGTGGTAGCACTAAAACCAAACTCATGATCATAAAATGGGCCTGGGCTCCCCCTCACCTTAGCTTTGCCACTCAGCCTGTGTCCCTGTCGCTACAGTGAGAAAGTTAAGTCTGGTTCCATTTCCCTCCAGTCCCTTCACAGGCCTGGAGCAGGGATCCTTTCTGTAGTAGTATTTCAGGCAGGGATGAAGGCACCTGTTGGAGTGTGTGGTGCCCACTAGTGGACCTCAGTCTTTTAGCAGGTAGAATGGATGCATCTTGAACACTTCTGGGTCCAAATGGAAGGAGGAGGTAGAGTTGCTTTGTGCAGTTGAGAAAGAGCTCTAGGGTTTAACCTCTGGGACAACAGTTCCCTGTCATTGGAAGTCTCCAAACAGGAGTGTTCCCATTCTTTTCTCCTAGGCCTGAACTTGAGGTTGGTCAGTTGGAGGACAGCTACACCAGTCCTTAGTTGGACCATGAAGATACTAAATCACAGAGCAGAGACTGCTGGCTTATAGACAGGCCTAGCTGGTCTCCACTTGGCCTGGCAAGAGAAAGAACTGGACTGACTAGGCATGTGCCCTCATCAGAGACCCAGTTGTGACATGTGTGTTTCCTTTGCAGGACAAGATTAGATGCACCCCGATTGGAAACAAAGTCCCTGAGCAGCTCTGCATTACCACCCAGCTATGCTTCAGATCGCCTTTCAGGAAACAACAGGGACCCCCCTCTGAAACCCAAGCGGTCTCACCGCAAGGCAGACCCTGACGCTGCCCACAGGTACTCAGCCTAGGATCCTCAACAAAGGCCAGTAAAGCAACCCCATGACTCTCTAGGCTATGATGGTGGAGAAGCCTAGGGTGGGTAGGCTGGTTAGGAGCCTGAGATTGCCCGACCTTTCAAAGCCATATGTCTGGTTTCTCTGGGAGAGTAGCATGGGTAGTATTTCTGCCTAACTCCTGGCCAGCTGCCTATACCCTCAGAGGGAAGGGATTGGGCAGAGACTCTGACAAATGCAAGTATGTTATGTTCTTCCCATGACCTCATTGTTCAGTCCCACCTGGACACACACCCTTGTGGGTTTATATTTAGGTGTTAGGGAATTTTGGCATGTAGAAGTGAACCAAGGATCTATTTGAGAAGAGTTAGGGTTTCTGATGGGATACTGTTTAAGATAAGACCAGAATGGGGGAGCTATGTAGGAAGGGCATTCTATGCAAGAACAACCGTGTGGGCTAATGTTGTGAGGCAGAAAAGAATTTGGTGGGTTAAGGAACTAGTGAACAGAGAAGGTGGTGTTGTAGGGACAGGCAGCAGGAAGAGTTGGGAAGTAGAGTGGACAGGGAAGGCTTCCTCCTGCCCAGCAGATCCCACAGGGTGACTGGGAGATAGCCCAAAGATGAGGTGTGACCACTGACACTTAATGACCAGGAACCACCAGTACCAGTGATTCTGCCAGAAATACCCTTCACTGAGAACCACTGAATTGGAGGGCCCCAACCTAAGGACAGAGAACCAGGCACAGAGGTGATGAGGCCAGACCCCCGTCCTGCTAGCCTCTCAGATAATAGCCCTCCCTCTTTTCTTTGCAGGCCACGGATCCTGGAGATGGACAAGGAAGAGAACCGGCGCTCAGTGCTGATGCCCACCCACCGGCGGAGGGGCAGCTTCAGCTCTGAGAACTACTGGCGCAAGTCCTATGAGTCCTCAGAGGACTGCTCAGAGGCGACAGGCAGCCCCGCCCGAAAGGTGAAGATGCGGAGGCACTGAAGCCTGTCCACCGCCCTCCTGGGAACTCTGGCTGATCCTCATGTAGCTGCCCCTCCTTTTGTTTTGAGGGTTTCATTTTTTGTTTTTGATCTTATATATATATATATTTTTCCCTTGGTTTGTTGCCCGTTAAGGCTGAAAAACAGAATTGGCCAAGACTTGGGTTTTCATGTTCTTGGCTTTCCTCCTGGATGAAAAGGTTGTTGGTGTCTGTAGGAGACAGAGACTCACGCTGGAGTAGCCAGTAGAGGTGTGGGGGGGGGGGGGGGGCAGTTATCTTCAAGTGGGGCTGAGTTAGGCTGGGTTTATTTAAAAGCAACAAAATGTTATGGTTAAGAAATTCTCATTTTTGCTTTAAATATAAATCTTTGCAGTGCTCTGAACAAAGTTCAGTCTCTTGCCCACCCTTTTCCTCCACTGATGTCCACACTTGGTTGAGGTCTCTTAGAGCCTTGCCAGCTCTGTGGGGGGGCTGCTGCTCCACCCTCACTTGCTGTCCAGGCTCTGGAAGCTCCTGTAAACACCCTTTCTTCCTCCCTCAGCAGAGTGGTTCAGGTTGGCTGGGGGCGGAGCTCAAACATTGCCAGCCCCTGTCACCCTAAGGCTATTGCCGAGCCCTCCAGGTTTCCTCCACACTTTTCTCAGAGGCTAGTACAGTGGTCCTGAGGTCTCTTGCCAAGAGTATGCCTGCCTCTTTGTTGGGTTGCTCCTTTCAAGCATTTGCGTGGGATTATATGGAAAGTTAGACTTGCCATGTTGGGTCAGTTTTAGGAATTGTTTCTAGCTAGAGGGACTGGTGTCCTTCCAAGTCTAGCATTTGGGGTATGGGAAATCATTGTGGTGTGTGGTAGGGTTTTTGTTTTCTTTTTTGAGTTTTTATTTTTCCTTTGGTCTCTTGGCTTTCCTTTCTCCTCCATTGGCCACCCTGGGCCTCCTCTCCATGTCATCCCTCTAGGAAGGTGCCCACTCCCTCGATTCACCTACAGTGTGCATCCAAGGCCAGAGCTCAGGCCTGCAGACTGGGTTGGTGCCTTCTCTGCTTCAGGGGCATGGGAGCTGGGGAAGGGGCTTCTTAAAAAACAAAAAACAAAACAACAAAAAAAAAATAATAATAATAAAAGGAAGAAAAAAAAAGTGAAGTCTTTGGCGCTTTCTACCCACTCAGATTCTGGAAGGCTGCAAGGTTTTGCTGATCTAAATTCATTAGGAATGTCTTCTTGCCAGCCAGGCCAGGACTTGGGCCTGCCAAAAGCAGAGGCCCTCCTGGCAACTGGGCCACCACAACTCCAGGGGGCTTTATGTATAGAGGTCCAGGCCTGGGGCCTCAGAAATGTGGGCAGCCACCATCAAGAAGCCCCTCTCAGGGGCCAGAACTCCTTTGCCAGCGTGGATTCCTCAAGTCAGGACTGCGTAACTAAAGCAGTTGCAGTTTTATTTTTTTTACAGCTTTTTTCCCAAAAAAATGATTTGTAGTTGTGTGTGCAGCACTTTGCCCTGATATGTGTGCTCTACAATAAAAACCAAATCTAATATATTTTGAAACAATTGTCTGATGATGTCGTAAGAGAAAGCTTGCCTTTGGTGCCTCCTTAATCCCTTTATTTTCTTAACTTTAAACAGAGGTTGGGGAAGTGGAGCTCATGGCCTATCAGAGCCCCAGAGAAGTCAGCCAGTTGTTGACACCAGGCCTCCTGAAGGCTGTAGGTGGCCTTGTCTGTCCTCTGCCTACTCCAAGGAGGATGGCCTTCATAACTATGGGGTGTAGGTATGCAGGGGCCGCACCTTCTCTCTGCATGTGGTAGTGGAAGGACTACATGCCAGTGAGGGGGAAACAGCCTGAACCAAGGCAGGGAGAAGCTGGCTTTTGTAGAGGATATGAAAGTGGTCTTGCTCAGTAAAGACTGAGTTCCCACTACACCAGACAAGTCCTCACTAGAACCCCAACCGTGAGCAAAACTCTCCTGGTCTCTGCTTTCAGTTGCTCTCAAGAGTATGGGAGTACATAGGATACAGGCATGAAGGAGGTATTTTTTTGGTGGGGTAAGGCTGGGCCCAGAGGCTTTAGTCCATCTGAATCCCTGACCTAACTCCCAGGGCCTGGCCAAGAGCTTCAGTCTGGAGTCTATATCACACAGTTAAGTGCTCAGAGCCAGTCTGCTTGGCCAAATTCCTGCTGTGGGAACCTGGACAAGCCACTTAACTGCCCATTTAGAAGAGAGTCTATAGACGGTGCAAGTGGCTGGCCAGGGTTTGGTTTGAAAATTGGGACCAGGGCCTCTGTGTGGTCCTGGCCAGATGGACCTACAGGGGCAGCACTGAGCTGGACTTAGGATCCTGGGTGCCCTGGAGAGGATATATGGGAACCCAGAGAGAAGTGACCTACCAGCCATCCAGACTGCATGTGACAAGAGTCGTTTTTCCCTATCCATGCTTAAGCCCCTAACAGGGGATGGGGGCCTCAGTCAGAGCTTTCCTCACCCCTAGGAAAAGAAGCCCTTCCCCCTGCAAGACTGAGGAACGTAAGGGGTTCTGACCACCAGAGTTCCTACTGCCTCTCTGGCTTTAGTCACTACCTGCATGGTAGCCCTGTGGGCTCCATCTGTGAGGTGATCGTCCTGAGCAGTTACCCTGAGCCTGACAGCTGACCCTGAATCCAGTTCTCTCCACCTCCTGGGGCACCAGGCAGGGTGCTTAGCCTCCCTCAGTCCCCACCCCCAGCCTGGTCTCACATAATTTTTCCAACAGCAGGGACATCAGCCCTATCCACGTAGGACCCATCCCATTCCTCTAACCCTTTTGTAAGGAGAGAGAAACAGATTCAAGGCGGTCAAGGACTGACCCAAGGTCATGTTATTCAGAAATATTGACTCAACTGTGCTGAGCACAGTGTTGGACACATGACAGACCTGGGACATAATGTCACATACATATGTAAGGGTAGCATAAACAGAAGTGTAGCACATAAATTGTAAATACACAGTATTTTGTTGTAAATTCCATATAGCCAGTTGTTTCACAAAAGTTTTTAGGCTCTTTTTCTGAATTCCGGTGTTAATCATCTGCCTATGCTTATAATTCAACCACAATATGAGGAAGATGCAGCTTATCTGCTTGTGTTTGTTTTTTTTATGGCTGCCAAAACTATCGCAAATTTGGTGGCTTACAAGAACAAATTTATTCTCACTTTTGGAGGTCAGAAATCCAGAATCACTTGTCCTTGAGCCCTGTCCACACCTTGACTTAAGAGGCTCTAGTGGGAAACCTGTCCCTTAAACTGCTGGTGGCTGTAAGCATTCCTTCATTTGTAGTTGCAGCTTGTTGCTCTGCCTCTCTGGTCACATGGCATCTACTGTGTGCCACATCTCTCTGCCCCTTTTACTAGGGATGTTTTTGATTGGATAGAAGGGTACCAAAATAATCTTTTTAATCACATCCTCAAAGACTTTTTCTTTTTATGGTGTTGGGGATGGAATCCAGGTCCTTGTGCACATAAGTGTTCTATACTGAGCTATACTGAATTCTATACCCTCAGCCCCTCACCCTTTCTTTTTCTTTTCTTTTTGGTGGTACTGGGTATTGAACCCCGAACCCTTTTGGTTTTGTTTTTTTTAGACAGGGTCTCCCTAAGTTGCTGAGGCTGGCCTCAAACTTGGGATTCTCCTGTCTCAGCCTCCCCACTCACCCTTTTTCTTCATGAGGTAACATTTACAGGTTCCAGGGATGATAACCTGATAGCTTTGGTGGCCACTGTGCTTACCACGTTGCTCTTTTCCTCATGAATTGATTATCATAAAAGCTGATATATGACCTACTAGTTCCTCAAGAAATTATGCTAGTTGGATTGGAATCTCAATCTCAGCACTACTTTCAAATTTAATCTAAATCATCAATATTTTTTCCATGGCTTTCTCAAAACTAGATTTGTGCTGTCCAATATGGTAGCCACTGGACTCTTATCAAGCACTTGAAATGTGGCTAGTTTGAATTGAGATGTGCTTTAAGTGTAAAATAAACACCAGAATTTGAAGTTAGGATGAAAAACAATGTAAAATATATCACTGATAACTTTATATTGGTTACATGTTGAAATGATACTATTTTGAACATACTGGGTTAAATAAAATATACTATTTAAATTAATTTCACCTGTTTTTGTTTCTGTTTTGATTTCTTTTTCTTTTTTTGGTGGTGCTGCAAATGGAGCCTAGGGCCTCATGGGCCTCATGCATGCTTGCACTCTACCACTGAGCTACATACACCACCAACCCCTGGAAATTTTAATTATATGTGGCTTGCATTACATTTCTATTTGATGGCACTGGTCTAGAAAATCAACAATGAATCAAACCTAATTTGTGGTGTTTTCGTTTCCATGGTGTAAATATCCTCATCTTGGCTGGTTTCAACATAAGGTCCCTGAACACAGAATTGTGAAGAGCTGTGCAGTAGCACACTGTTACACATCGTTTGCAGCACACAGACAAAATGGATATAATTAAAAAGCATAGACATTTTTCTTTTGTTTTGGTACTGGGGATTGAACCCAGGAGTATGTAACTACTGAGCTACACCCTCAGTCCCTTTTTATTATTTATTTATTTTAAAAAATTTTGTTTTAGTTGTGATTGGACACAATACCTTTATTTTATTTATTTTTATGTGGTGCTGAGGACTACACAGCGCTGCGCATGTGCTAGGCAAGGGCTCTACCGCTGAGCCACAACCCAGCCCTTTATTTTTTATTTTGAGACAGGGTCTCACTAAAGGTGCTGAGGCTGGCCTCAAACTTGCAGTCCTCCTGCCTCAACTTCCCAAGAAACTGGGATTATAGGTGTGCACCACCATGCCTGGCAGCATAGGTATTTTTCTATCTCTGCTTATTGCAAATAAAAAAACGAAAACACTAAAGAAGTAGAATTGGGTGGAGTGGCACAACCTATAATCTTAGCAACTTGAAAGGCTAAGGCAGAAGAATCACAACTTAGAGTCCATCCTGGGCAACTTAGTGAGACCCTAATTCAAAGTTAAAAATAAAGGACTGGGCAGGGCATGATGGCACACATTTGTAATCTCAGCAGTTTCAGAGGCTGAGGCAGGAGGATCTTGAGTTCAAGGCCAGCCTCAGCAACTTAGCAAGGCCCTAAGCAACTCAGTGAGACCCTGTCTCTACATAAAATATAAAAAGGGGGCTGGGGATGTGGCTCAGTGTTTAAGTGCCCCTGGGTTCAATCCCTGGTACCTAAATAAATAAATAAATAGCTGGGATGTAGCTCAGTGGTAAAATGCTGCTGGGTTCAATTACCAGACTGCAAAAATTAAAAAGCTGATAGAGTTGGACATAGTGGCACACACCTGTAATCCTAGTGACTCTTGGACCAGAAGAATTGCAAGTTCAAGGCCAGTCTGAGCAATTTAGCAAGACTCTGTCTCAAATTTACCAAAAAAAAAAAAAAAAAAAGGACCAGGGATATAGCTCCTTGGGTTCTCTCCCCATTATGAAAAATAAGTATATAAATAAATAAGACTTAGGGCTAGTGGGGGTGGGTGGGTAGTCAGTGGGAGAGTGCTTTCCAGGTGTGCATGAGGCCCTTGGTTCAATCCCAAGCACTGCAAAAAATAATAAATACAGCATAGATAATAGTAAATATAAAATTAGTAGGAAATATTTGATTTGAAATATTAATTCTGTAAGTTTTTGTTTTATTTTACAGAACTAAGGATTGACCTGGGGGTATTATACTATGAGCCTTTAAATTTTTCATTCTGAGATTGCCTCAAACTTGTGAGGCAAACTTGCCTCAGCCTTTTGAGAAGCTAGGATTATAGGCCTGTGCCACTATATCTGGCTCCTTAATTTTTAATATAATTTCAATTTTATATCATCTAATTTTTCCCTCCCTGCTCCTGCTGAGGATTGAACTTGGAGCCTGGCACATGCCCAGCAATTTCACTGCTGCTGAGCTATGTCCCCAGCCCCTAGTTTTCAATAATGACCATTTAACAGCTGACTCACACATTTTTTTTTTTTTTTAATTGGGGATTGAACTCAGGGTTGCTGTACCACTGAACCACATTATTGTGAGATTGAGCTTGTTGAGTTGCCCAGGCTGGCTTCAAACTTGGGATCTTCCTGCCTCAGGCTCCCAAGTAGTTGGGATTACAGGTGTGTGCCATAGCACCTGGCTCAACAAAAATTTGCCAATTGAGTCTTGCAAATAGCGCCAGCATACCACTGGGCTTCTGAACAGAGAAGGGATGATATGCAGACTTAGGATCTCTCAGGCTGCTGTGTTGAGGACAGTCACAATCAATACAAAAGCCACTGCATTGGTAAGGGACTAAGGTGTGGAATATGGGAGTTGGGTCCTCAGGTCTGTGTGGTGGAGGTGTGTTGAAGTCTTTGGACTATGTCAGAGTTGGGGTTTCCCCTGCTAGGTATCAGGTGCTCATTGCTGCAGTTCCCCTTGTGCCCACAGCGTGGCAGCAAAGCCTGAGCCATGGGGGCCTCACTGTGAAGGCCAAGGGATGACTGACTATCTTTT